GAGCTCTTGGTCCTGGCTCCCCGACTGGGGGCAGGGGGCTTGGGAAGAGCTGCAGGGTTGGAGCAGGTCCCAGCCCCCTGCCCCAATCCACCAGTGGGGCAGCTAGCAGTGAGCTAGCTAGGGAATCCTTGCCAAGCCAGGGGCTCACTGCCCCACCAGCAGATTGAGGCAGGGGGCTGGGAGCCACCCCTCCCATGCCACGCACCTCGATCATGCAATCAGGGCATGGGGATGGGACCAACCTCTGACCGGGACAGTTCCCAGCCAGTCCTGGTCTGCACATACAGTCCAGAGTTGCCTAGGGACTACCTAAAATGGGACAGTCCCCACCCATGCACATGCAGACTTCCCTGCACAGCCCATAGCTGGCCAGGAACCGTCCTGGTCAGGGGCAGGTCCCAGCCAGCTCTAGGCTGGGGGAACACTCCCCGTTCGGGGAGTTCCCAGCCCCTGCTCCACAACTGCTGAGCAGGGGCTGGGAGTAAGAGGACATTGTCCCCACCCAGGCTCCAGTGATGGAGCCTGCCCCAGCAGCACGCATCTCCTGGAGGCAAGTAGTAATTTCCCGCCCCCTGCTTCCTGGAAGCAAATTTGCTCCCAGTCAGCTGTCTACACATGCTGTACTGCTCAGTAATTACTCCTGAGTAAATCTACTTGTATTTAAAGGTAGCAAACTTACTCAAGATTAGAGTAAATTATTGTCCAGTAAGCATCTGCATGTGTTGACAATAGTGCTCACCATGCAGTAATTTATTCTAATCTCAAGTAAAGCAACTAGCGTAGACACATCCAGCAAGTCAAAGAGACTTAGGGCTCACATACTTTGCAGAACAAACTTACAGCTGAAAGTTCTATGAATGGTAAGTTACTACCCACTTCTAGACAAGATGCTCATTTCAGATTGTATCCAAAAGCCTTATAGTCCCCTGCAGAGAGCTCTATTTCAATCCTTCCTTGCTAACAAATTCCCTAATCATGTGTTATTTAACCCAGATTGCATTTGTCAGAGATTAACACAAGGATTTATGTTCTGTTGATTTTAGTTTTATGCAGGTATTTCTGAAAATGCAACAAGATGAAGTTTATTTCATGATTATGTTGCTCTAAACAAAACAGCTGTCTACATTGCCTTGCACCGGACCAAGATGCATTGGGTCTAAAATCCCACACTTCACAAGCACTATTGCAGAATTGGTGGAAGCTTGACCAGTAGAGTATGAAAGGCCCAGGTCCTCTGAAACTCCTCCATGCTCTCAGCAACAGCCAGCATAGGAGAAAATTCAGAATCTGCCACCTTTCCCAATCTCCCCATTTATTTACCAGAAATCAAACTTGTACCTATCATGCCAGCAACAGCAGCAGATATCAAAAACATTATCCAAACTTGAGTCCTCTTTGGGCTGTATCCTCTCCAACCACAGTACTCCCAACCTTGCTGCCTTTCCTTTTACCCACTTTCACTGTCATCTCTATCGCTCCTTCCTTCCTTACGCCAATATTACTAATCTATTTTACAATCTTCCTCTCTGAACCACCCACCCATACAAAAAAAGAAAAAATATCAAGCAAGGAACATGTGCAGTACCATTAGCTTAACTCATGTTTTCGCTTTTAACTTTACCTCCTCCTCCATATCAGAATGTCTGTGCTTAAAACTAAACTCTTCAAGTATCTATGATGCTCTCTTTGTCCATCTAGCACCAAATACACTTGTGCACTTAATAAATGCAGTATCTGAATAGGAAGATTCATCCCCTACACATCAAATTTAGGGAGAAAGACAAATATTGTTACATTTTCTGAATTTCAACATTTGTCTGGAAAAAATATAAAGTTTACAGCAAAAACACTTATTTCCCATGCCAATAAGATTATCTAATTGCATTCAAAATTATGAAAGCTACTTCTTTTGCTGTCAAACTTAAAGACCCCAATTAAAGTAAAATGTATTTTGCTCTCCTAAGTAAAATCCTTTTCTGGATTACTCTGCAGGATCATGACAACTTCTGGCATTAACTGTTATATATGTCAAATCAAATGAATATGAAAATATAATTCTGCATGAAGGCAAGTAGGGCAATCTTTACATTTGGAGACCGAGTAATTTTAAAGTAGCATTACATTATTTAGCTACTTGAAGTCCTGGTTAAGTGATTAGATTTGTATCTATTAACATAAGAAATGTAAAATACTACTTTTTCCAAAGTTTTAAAGCTTGAGAGGCAGGGCTATGTGAATGGAAACTATTGGATTTCAACACTTTGAAAAACTAAGCTACCTAAGTAGATTCTTAATATTAGGAACAAACTTCTCAAAATCCTGGCCCAACAAGATAATTGATTTTGATTAGGACTTAAAGAATCTCACTATGAAAAAGCTCAAATCATTTTCCTATAAAGTGAAAAGGTGACTGACAGAACCTCTCTCATTTAATTGACTACATTAAAACTTAAGCAGTGAGAAGCAGTGATTCACACTAGTCACTTGCATCTACAGCTTAACTGATGTTTTCTATTAGAGAACTAAAAAGTTCACACTTGTATTCTAATCTAAATTACTTCAGTTTGACTATAAGCACACATGTGACCTGCACCACAAAGGAAAACTTTCAGGGAAATAAGTCTGTAATGACGACTGGTTAAAAAAATTAAATAAAATAAATGAATAAATGAGTGAATAAAATAAATAATCTAAGAGGTTTCTTTCTGGAAGATTTTTTTTGCATCAGTTACATACAACTATGAGCTCACTTCAGTATTCAGAAATTCTGGAAACAAACTCTGCTTTAAGTAACCTTTCAAGGCAGTCCTTTAAAAGCTAGTTGTACAGCTAGTCTTTAAATTTGTTCAGCTATGTATTTTTTCCAAATATTGTGTTATATAAAATAGAGCACCACCTACAGTTAAGATCACCTGACACTTTCAAATATAAACACCCTGTTTTCTGTTTTGTTTTTGCCAGATTTTAATTGAGAGCTAAATTTTTCCATCCTGAGACATCTGCTTCAGGATGAAATTCTCTGGAAAGTTTTAGCTTAAGCAATTCAGTCATTTCCAAAATCAGGTTTTAAGAAAAATGTTTTTTCCCCTGTGTTTAAAAGCATTTACTACTATTTGGTTTTCTAGATCCACTACAGCAGGGGTGTCAAACTTCTGGTCCATGGAGCCATATGATCTGGTCTATGGGTCTCAAGACAGATCCCATGTGCTGCATGAGGCATGTGCTTCACCCCAGCACCACACATGCTCCACGCAGCACAGGGGGTAGGGTCGGGGCACATACTGAATGTGACATCCATGCCAGATAGGCTGAGCACACTGGCTCCAGGGCTGGGCTGGTTGGGTCACACTGGAGCCAGCACACAAGGCTGATCTGGCACAGCAAACACCCTGTGCTGGCCCATAGGAGCACAGATGCAAAGTTGTTAAAGGGCAGTACCCTAGTACAAGTTATTTTTTGTAATCTTAAAAAAAAAAAACAACTATCTAGTGAACCAAATTATTACCCTGTGAAACATCTCATTTCACAGGTGTTCAACAATTGATTCTGGCAGCTAAATTCTTTGAAGCTGGACCATGAAGCACAGAAAATCTCCTTGCAGTTCCTATGAAAGAAACAGATGGTACATACACCACCTTACCAGAGACTGAGTATACACTACCAGAGCTTATAAGGGCTGAGCTGGATTTTTCGTATAATTGCTGTTTCCAGTCCCTATGGGCTGTTGTGGCACCAAATGCACAAAATGATTCCTGTGGTCTCAATATTTCTACTGCTGTCTAGACAGTATGGAGGAAAAAAGAGGGAATTAGAGAAAGGGAGATTTATAGGGTTGAAGACGGGATAGAAGCAGGAACAAAGGCCTGTAGAAGACAACAGTAGAATAGGGGAAGAAGCAAAGTAGACTACACAGAAGCTAGGGGAAGGTGAACAGAAGGATCTAACTATTAGAGAACATGTCCATACAGACCCTAGAATTAATCCCAGTGTTCCTGGTCGCAACATTTCTTTGCAGTCTAGCAAAAAGCTGTGAACCACCTGATGAAAAAGCCAAACATCTCCACCTGCTTCTAGTGGCACATCCACATAGAAGATAACAGCCTCTTACTGCTAACAGTTACTTTAATTCCATAATGGGATTTCTAGAATAGGGTTCTGTTTATTTGTGCTTTCAACCATAATATTTCTAATAAAACTCTGTAAATAAAGCTTAAGAGTTCTGAAGACCTGCAAAAGTCAGGAAATACAAAATAAAAGTTGCCTGAACAACTTTAACGTGGCCCTTTCCAGCACATGCATTATGGCACATTCTTTATTCCACAACAATGTATTCCCCGCAAGCCCTTACCACATTCCATACACAGAACTTTGTCATATACTAATAACTATTGTACAAAATGATAAATTATTTTCCTCTTCAGAAAGTCCCAAAGGGGGTAAATGTTAAAATTACAAAAGTTATAATAAAAAATAAGTAAATAAAAATAGTTTGTGAACATTTGTTCACCAGAGCACCCCAAGGGATGACAAGGTCAAACAGTTATAAACTCCAGCAAGACCGTTTCAGGCTGGACATAAGGAAGAATTTCTTCACTGTATGAGCCCCCAAGGTCTAAAACCTGCATCAGAGGTGGTTCAAGCACCTACATTGAACACCTTCAAGAGTAAATTGGATGCTTATCTTGCTGCGATCCTGTGACCCCAGCTGACTCCCTGCCCTTCCGGCAGGGGGCTGGACTTGATGATCTTCCAAGGTCCCTTCCAGCCCTAATGTCTATGAAATCTATGAAAAATCATTTTTCTGGGTTGCTGTACTGTTTTCAGCAAAAGTTTCCTCTCTAAAAATACCTACATGAATATTTAAGACATATTTCCAAAACAGACATATTGTCTCGCCAACCAAGTCAAAAATACAATTTTTAGTAAGTACACTAGCAAAAAATATTCTTTTCTGAATATAAGCTCTTAATTTTACTATTTTCACTATTAAGCCTACTTACCAAGTCACAGAACTCAAACACCAACAGATAAGGGACAGCTTCTACACATTGCCCAATGCACTGGACAACATTCGGATGGTGAAGAACACTATAATAAAAAAACACCAAGTATTATTTAAGTCAGGACAACTGCTACATATATCAATAGATAAGAACAGAGGGGGACAACCTGTAACATGCCACAAGTGGCACATGCAACCTCTGTGTGGCAAGTGGCTGACTGGGATGGGGACATGCATCATAAGAGCAGACAATGCAGGAAGCAAAAAGCAGAGCATCAGATCAAGCAAGACGAATACAGCAGGAAACAAAAAACAGAGCAGCAGATTGCACAAGGGAAGGGAATTTGGAGTGGTACTGGGAGAGGGCATGGAGCCAATTTACAATATCCTGAAAAGGTCTGCATATTAAAACACTATATATGAAATATTGCCTACAAATAATTTTATCACAACTCATGGCATTGTGTTTCTCTAAGTCCCAGCTCCTGGAAGCAAGTAATTACATGAAAATCTTAGCATTCAATTTAGAAAGGTAAGTTCCTAGCCCTCCTAACTGGAGGAAAATTTGATAATGCAAGCCAAGTGTACTCAACAACAGCATCTAATATTCGAACACATATCACTCTTGTATACTGCTTTGAGAGTTTGGATGTCAACAGTGGACATTCTGAACATTTACAGCAGTATATATGTTGTAAGATATGCCTCCTGCTTTCTCAGGACATAAAAGTCAGCGCTGTCAATTATCTCTGTATTCCTGCCAGAAGTGCAAAAACATTTTTGAGGCACCCTACAGTTAAAAAAAACAAACAAAAAAAATGAAAAACAACCAAATGCCATGGAAGGAGGGAGACTTGGGAGGACTGATTTAATTTTTGATCACTTAGTACTAGATTTAAAATACGTATTATTTTTATTTCTCAAAGTTCCATGAATTAATTTAAATCATCATCCTGATAAAGAGGTAAATATTATAAAAGAGAAACAGTACAGTTTTCCACAGTTAAATATAGTCTTAATAACATACACTATAATGGCAAATTACTCAGTTATGGGACAATACTTACCAGTAAGCCTCTCCATTTCTTAAAAACTGTTCTTGCTCCTTGGAACCCGCACTTGCCTTTAATTCCTTCACTATTACTCTTGCTACACTAGTTCCTGTGTAGATCTCCCCAAGCAGGACCTGGAAAAAAAGAAAAATGTTCTATAACAAAGACTGAATCACAGATAAAAATAAAGTCTCTCAATTGCAACAAAGAAAAACAGGAATGTAAGCATATGACAAAATATGTTTTATGGATTTTTATTTTTTGGCAAAGAAATCAACGCTTTCATAATTATGCTTCCACTGCTACGAAACTGAGTATTCTGACTAGCAACATTAGTCTTCCATTATTTAAAAGTACATAAACTCTATAAGATACAAAATTTGAGTTCCGATGCTTAATTTTTTTTTCAGAAGCAGCTAAAATTGAACAATTTATGAGCTCTACTAAACTGAAGTTAGTGACCATTTAAGTGATAAGTTCTGTTAAACAGCACTGTAATTACATTAAAATAGTAATCAGACCTAACAAAGTGCAAGCCACAGCAATATAAATTTAATCTCAGTTGAAAATGTCCTTGTTGTATTACTACTTTAAAACAGCATGATTTTACAGAACATGCAGGTCTTTACTTAAATCAGAAATAAAATCCAAATTGCAGAACTACAATATTAAAGAAGATCTTTTCACCTTTCCAAACCAGCCATTTCCAATTTCTTGGATATAGTTTAGACTCTGTCGTGCAACTTGAGACTTTGATCCCACTGTTATACACACAACAAAAACAAAAACACAACACACATCAAGCCAGTCAAATGGCTAAAATTATCTATTGCAATTGAAAAAAATAACGCAAGATCCTACAATAATTTATTTTTAATCCTAACAACACCATCAATAATTACAGTATTTTACAGCAATGCAAAGCGCACACATACTGGTAAACATATACAATGGAAGTATTAAGTTAAACAAAGCAAACCTTGTAACAAAATAAAACAAAGAAAGGAAGTCCAGGGGGGCACTACTTCAGTTTAGACTTCTAAATAGACTAGATTAGACACTGATCTTAAATCTGAAAAACCTGTTCATAATAATAATAAATGTTATGAATGACATGTAAACCTTTTTTTTAAAAAACATATTCAAATACAGTGCAGATGAAAAGGTAACAACTAGTTGGATTTGCCTTTTCCTGCTTCCAGCACATACACTTATATTACAAAGTACAGTAAAATATATTTAAAAATCTAGGTGCACAGCCTATCATAGCAGATTCATGACTTCCACAAGCCCTGACTTTTTTTTTTTTTTAGAAAAATTTGACGGAGGACTTGGTGTCTGCAGTACAGAACGGTGGTCTCTTCAGTTTTAAAAGGTATGCTCACTAAGAATGGGGAAGGACACCTCAGGAGAGAATAATCAAGTGCAAAATCTATATTTCTAAAGATGTTTTCATTTTTTAAGGTTGAAAAAACTTTTCATAACTGGAAATTTAACAGCTAGTGCTAGTCTCCTAATACTGGAGACATCACCAATGCATCTACAACTAAGATTTCCCAGCTGCAGAAGAATACTGAATTAACTAGTCTTGTCAGTAAGGGTGCACCAAAAAAGATTTTCTTGACTGATACCAACAGCTGATTATTAAGCAACCATATCAGCCAATACCAATCCGATAATCAATTTACAGGAATGCAGTCGGGCAGCGTGGAGAGCAGCACCCTGCAGGTCAGTCTGTGGAGGGATAGGGGCAGATCAAGACCCCCCCCACAGTGAGGGAGGGAATGGGGCAGGGGCTGAGGCTGGGGGCGCTGCCCAGCCAGGGCAGCGAATGAGACATGGGGCTGGGGTGGGTAGTGGGACACAGCCACAGCCAGTTTGTCCAGGGGATCAGTGTCCTGGCACTTAAAGGTGGCAGGCGCACTTGAATTAAAGCTCATCAACTGAGCTTCAGTTCAAGCACTGCTGACACCATTTAAGCGCCAGGACACTATTAAACAGAGTGGAGCCAAGTGCACATCGCTGTGGGCCTGGGGCTAATCTGCTCTGCTGCCTTTGCCCCAGGAGCCCCATGCCAGCCACACGTTCCCTGCCCAGCAGAAGGGGGCACAACTTGCAACCCCGCTACTGTGGGGCAGGCAGGGAGCACGCAATTGGTGCAGGTCTCTGAGAAAAAGGCAACAGAGCAGAGAACCCCACGCAGGGGAGGTTTGGGGAGCCTATAGCCACCCCAAAATTCAATTAGCGCACACCCCTGGTAGCCACCCCTCCTAGCACTGTCACCACCACCCACCTACCCCACACAGCTGATCCCATCCCACTCCCAGCCCCTCCACTGGGAAGAGGCTGGCACCACCCCAGCCTCAAGCCCACAGCAAGCACCTGCATCTACCCCATGCACAAATCTGAAGGGGCACATGCCCTCCCCATGCCTCCCCCATGGGAGCGCAGAGCCTCTGCCCCCCTCTAGCTCCCTATACGCCCTGGAAGAGCCATGCCCCACGGCACCATTCCGCTCCCCACCCTGGGTCCGATTCACCATCCTGGTTGGGCTGTACCCCCAGCCCCACTCCTTCCCTCACTGTGGGGGCCTCGATCTGCCCCACCCCAATGCCTCTTCCCCTCCACAGACTTACCTGAAGGACACTGCTCTCCATACTGCCCGCCTGCATTCCTGGCCGCGTGCACAAGTGCAGCTGCACGCATGCACACATCATCCAGGGGCCCCAGCTAGAAGGCATATTATATTTATCGGTGACACTATCAGCTACACTGGCCAAAAAAAAAGCCAATAGCCAATAATGTTAATTTTCCTTCTAATGGCACCAATATACTAGTGCACCTCTACTTGTCAGTTTTCACTTCTTTTCAAAATCCTGTTCTGCTGCTGAGAAAAAGTAAAAGCAGCAGTAACAGCACCCCTCAACCTGTGCAGCTGAAAGTTGGGGGGGGGGGGGTTTTTTTTTTTTTTTTTTTTAAAGGTGACTACATCTATTAAACTACATGTAATTCTTTGAGAAGT